TATGAACAACGGTTGCGAAAATAAATATAATAAAATTTATTAGACACACTGTATACAGATCTGAAAACGTAGAGCATTTTCGAAATGGCGAATTTTTTACCTACTTTTTTTACTACTTTTACCTACATTGTCAGCTGAATGCTTCCATCCAATTCGAAAATCTATCAATGCAAGAAAGACAATAAATATTCCCTTTGAATGGGAGAAGTGCTCCTATGAGATCGATATCAGTTACATAAATTCTTCCTGGTGGTACATCAGACTCACTTAATTTTGTTTTGGTATACCGGTTGATTTTAGCTCTTTCTGGCAAAGGACGAGAACCCTGAGGTGTAATTAGTATCCTAAAAACTCGATTTGTTGAACAGCGAACGCAGATTTTGAAATATTTATTCTTAAACCAAAAGTATTTAATCTTTCGAAAAATAATTTAAGGTGATTTTCGTGTTCTTCATGCATACCGGATGAAATAAATATACTGTCTAAAACGAACGATAAAAACGAATTCTAATCCTCTAAAGACTTCGTGAATAAATCGTTGGAATGTTGCAGGAGCATTTTTAAACCGAAGCTCCATTACATTAAATTCGTACAACCCGAAAAAAGTGATGATAGCCGTTTTACATTTATCCTCTTCTACAAAGGAAATTTGAAAGTATGTTTTCAATAAATTAGTTTTAGAGAAAATATTTGTGCCTTTTAAAATATGATGGAAATCTTCAATCCGAGGAATTGGGTATCGATCAGATATCGTCTGCGCATTAAGTCGAGGGCAGGCCCCGCAATGACGATATGAATAGTTCTCTTTCGTGACAAGGTGCAAGGGGCTTGACCACTGGGAGTTTGATGGATTCCATTGTCAAGCGTAAAGTCTAATTCCTCTTTAGCTATCGGTAAGCGTTTTGGATCGAGCTATCGTGCCTTTGAATAAATAAGTTAACTACCAGTGATAGTAAAATATGTTTAATTTGTGTAGGAAAAAGGTTAGGTTTAGAAATTTCGAGATATTTCGATAGTAAATCGAAAGTTTTTATGAATTTATATAATGCTGTTACGTAGCTATCTCTTGAAATAACATTAACATCACACTGGGAACTAAGTTGTGTTACTCCATGAATTAATTTTTTCTTATTTATATCGATAAGAAAGTTTATTTGTGAAGAAAGTCAGCTCCTAAAATACTTTTTGTGACATAAGTAATTATGAATGGAAACTGAAAATCATGATGTAATCCCAAATTAAGAGTTAGCGTTTTTATCCCATATGTAGAGGTATCTGTTCCATTAGCTGCATACAGTTTGTACTCAGTTTTACATTTATTTCTGAGAAGTAGCTGGAATTATGCTTCCTTTAGCTCCGCTATCAACTAGAAAATGCAAATTTGATCTTCGGTCACGAACGAATAAACGAAATTTGCGACAATCCTTCATATTTTCTGCAGGAGATTTTGCGGCTGAACCTACTGTAGATTTTAGTTTTCCTGGTTTTGGAAATTGTAGTTTACCCAAGCACACGGGGGCCAGCATTTCTCTGAAATGCATTTTCCTCCAAATGGAAAATGGTAGAAACAAAATTTGTCATTTTGATCACATTGTTTACGAGATCGTGAACGGGAATTACGAGTTCCTGTGTCTTAATCGAATGATTATTTTATCGATTTTTTGTTCAAACAGGGGTTTAAATATTTCCAACAAATCATGTACGGAAACGACAGATGCATTAGCACTAAATACTTCCATAGTTTCTGATCAGGGCTGTATTTAGACTTGATAAGGCCCTAAGCTATTTGAGCTATCGGGTGCTTTATAAGTCCACATATTATATGTCAGTGCCGTATATGATTTTCGGACAGCTAGAGGGTTTTTTGAAGGGCCTTAAGCTTAAGCTATAGCTTGTGTAGCTTATACGTAAATCCTGCACTGTTTCTGATTCATATCACTAATTGTATCTGCCATAGACGGTAACTTGCTTGCATCTTCATCACTAATTAATAATATATTTTTATTAAATCAGTTAGCGTTTTAAGCCATAATGTTTTGATTAAATTTTCAGACACATCCGTAGTAGCAACAGATCTCAATTTCTGCAAAAGTTCTCGGTTTCAAAAGTGCTTGGTTTCATGTCGCCAAGCTCAGTACTAGTAATGAAACGTTTAATCCGTACATTTTTACTTTCCTTAAATAAATGTAATAATCTAGTTTTAGCATCCGAATATTTTGTGGCACTTTCGCTCGTTACAATATCCCAAATATTTTAGACGAAATTAGGTTCAAGGTGTGAAACTAAATAATTAAATTTCGTTTCTTCTGAAATAATATTATTGATTTTGAACTGTGATACAGCTTGAAAAAACTTTATTTCCGGCTTATCAGTCCAAAAAGAGGGTATTTTTACGTTCACCCTATGAAGTTCCAGCGACTGCATTAATTGTTTCGGAGTGTTTCAGAAGAGTCATTTGTTGTCATTTCAAAAATGAAACAGGGTCAACAATATGTAGTTTTGACTATTGATATTCAAACTGAATTATAATTAGAAACAGCAAGAATCTGTAACGAATAGTTAAGTTTAATGCTTTTATTTTTTAGTAGTCATATCATATTCATATCATATTAGCAGTCATACCATATATATATGGCATATGGGATCGCGCAGCCATATCACATACTCTGTATCAGAAAAACTGCGTTGCACAGTTCCATGTATCAAAATGTACAGCGCGAAGAGGTCTATAATGCCTTGGACTGTCAGCAGTGACACCATTTGCTTCGGTTTGTCTTGAAGCTGCAGCACAGTAATTATTCCCTAAAATTGTACAGTCAACGATTTAGTTCAGGTTTTGTTTAGAGTATTATGATGATAGAATCCATATGTGGATGTACTAAGGGGTAATGAATGTTGAAAGCTTCAGCTCAACAGGTGTATCATTAACAGGTACAACTCCGGATTGATGTTATGGGGTAACAATGGGTGCACATCCTGTTGATTTTTAATAAAGACATGCGGTATTTCGACCAATCACCTTGTAGGTGATAGGCTCCCGCCTTCTTAGGCCCATATCACACATGAACAACTGTTTCGGACATTTTTCTGCCTGGTTTACTATTGAAAGAAAGACGCGCGATTTTGTCCTTCCTTTCAAAAAAAATTCCAAGTTGTTCGTTTTCAACCAATCAGCTGTCAGCTTGTTTGTAATGGAGAACCAGTTTTCCCTGTGTTAACCTCAAAGCAATCTGTGGCGATTGGCTATTGTGACAAAGCAGAAAAATTGTTCCAAGCAGTTGTTCCTTCGAAACCAACGTATGTGTGATAGCAGCCTTAGCATGCCTTCGTTGTATAGCGGTCAGCACGCTCGACGTGAATTCGAGAGGTCTTTGTTTCGAATCCCGCCTAGGGCATTGCTCATTTTTCATCTCTCCTGCTTTCGAAATAACCTACAGTGGCGCCCGAATAAAAAAAAGGTGATGGATGATGATTTTCCGCCACCAGGATTTGCGATTGGGTCCTCTAATCCCCAGGCGCCCTTTAAAAGGGGATTAAAAGATTTCTCCCGATTCTAAATGCCTTCGTGGTTATGGTCAGCACTTCTCGATCGTATTCAGAGCCGTGGTTCGAGTCCCGGCGAGGGCATTGCCAGTTTCCATCTCCTCTTCCAAAAAGCCTATGCTCACACCTTTACATTGGAGGTTCAACGGGCGTGGCTGCTCCAATTTAGAAATCCTTGCCTGCCTTTGATCAAGACAATGAGAAACTGTATGATACAAACCCTGTCTATGTTTTCCCAATACATAAGATTCTTCGACTCCTAATTTAGTTGGCACATTCTCCTGATAGCTCACCAACTGAAAACGTTTGATCCGAAGTTACACAGAGGTTGACATGACAACACTCGCCAAACAGGTACAGGTTGAAACAAGGCATCTGTGCATTCCAGAGGATACGTTAGGTATCGCCGAGCAATGCTAACTGTCAAACTCCATCTCGGTTTTTGATGAAGAACACACCAGGTTGCGGTCCAAAGGTGTTCCACGCCTCTTTCCGTACCTCTAACCACTTGAGTCTCCCCCCCCCGGTCGGCGTAGCGATTCTGCGAATCTACGGCTCATCTGTACTAGGCATCTCGGCCACGGGGGTAAAGATTTAAACTTGTGTTTGAAGGCCCTGAAGTACTTTATGGCCGGCCTCGGGGTCTGGCAAGTCCTGAGCAGTACGGCTCAAGTAGCCGGGGGAGGTAGCGCCCCCGGTGTTTCCTGGGTAATGACCCACTGCGGCGGGCAGCCCGAGCGACTGACTGGTAGCAAATCAAACGACCAGTGGTGCCTGGTGAATCCCAGGTGGTGCGCCGCTCTTCCGGAGAGGCAATAGCGGAGGTTGAACCTCTGCGACTTGTCCTAAAGGGACAGTGGACCTGTAATGTTGTTCAGTCTAACGAGACATGGAAGCCTATAATTAGTTAGTTAACCACTTGAGAGAACTTTCGATTCGCTTGTATATTGAGTTGCTGCACAGACAATGTACACCTACAAACAACCATACCTTCTCCGGTATTCGAACACGGATTTATCGTTGCAATAGTCAGCATCACTAATCACTATACCGCTTAGCCGCACCACCGCCAAACAGTACTGTAGTTCAACATTTGGGGGCACAGAACTGAAGCCGCATAGACTGCAATACTCTCAGCTGTTATCCAAAGTCTGTTTGAAATAAATATGATTTTGCATACTCATACCTTTTTTCTACTACAGAAATTCTATTACAGAAATTTCAGTGCTTAGCAGTTCAAGAAAATTTATATGAAAACCCTTCTTCAGTATCATGTTATTGAGAAATGATCATTATTATGTAATATTTACATTTTAGTGTAAGCTTTCTTTTCCTATTTTTCGCAGATGCTATTTAAAATATTTAATTTATTTATATTGCTTTAATATTTTTAACTGTTAATTTACACATTGTTTATAAATGCTCATTTAGAGAGAAATTCTGCAAAAATGTTTCAGGTAATAGAAGATTACACGAAGAAAAGAAGTACTACCTGTCAACTGTTCGGGGAATCAAAGGAAAGACTCAATATACCTGTTTCTCCACCCATGAATGACGTTGAATTAAAGAGAATACTGCAAGAATTAACTCTTTTTACAAAATTCAAAACAGGATTCTTAAAGACTTAGTCTCACAACACAGTTAATATATCAAAAATAAGTTTATTTCGTATTTCTCTGAAAAAGCTTTACACAATATAGCAACTTAAATCGTGATATTTTAATCATTTATTTCTTGAAACCAAAATAGCTTATGCACAACGCAGATGTTATCGAATATTTGGCTTGTGTTTGCAAACCCGCGGATATTTTGTAAGTTGCTTTTTCAAGTAATTTTTCTGTTTTATTAAAGTATATCAAAAATGTATCCTAAGTTTGATGCCTGGTAAACTTACCATCCCTCTTTGTGTTGTGGTTATTGTAAATACGATATATTATTTGTTAGTACCTCATGGCAGAGTAGTTCATTATTTTCAATGAAGTAACATGCTTCGTCAGAATGAATATCAATTAGATATTTTTTTCTGTTTCTATAAATAAATTAGTTATATGTACAAGGGTTAGACAATGAGACTGAAAGATTTAGCTAATGTAACGTTCGAAACTTCAAGCCAGTACATTCATTTATGGTTGTAAAACCTGAAAATGTTTTAATTTTATAAGCAGTAGCAGAGTCCGAAGCTCGAATTTTAAGCGATGTTACTTACTACTTTACAACTATTAACTTGTAGGGTTTATATTTATTTTAACTAACATTTATTTTAAGTTTAAACTATCTTTCCTGTCAAGCCTTACTTTTCCCTGGAATTGCCAATGCCAGAGTATGTAAATTTTAGTAGAACGCGCAAAGGATTCAAATTGTCAGCGGAAGTATTCTGAGTTAAATAGAAGAAGGGAAACGAGTTCGAAAGGTGTGCTTTCTTGCTTCACGAGCGTGGAGGTGGCTAGTTAGAAATTGAAGAACCACGCGTTTCGGCTGTTGTGCTTGCCTCGGTAGATTGTTAATCTTTCAACGTAATATTCAGAAGTTTGCTGAATTATCAGCGGTATTTTAGAACGCGGTTAGGTTAGTTACGTTTAGAGAGCCTCGTAGGTAGTCACTTGTTATTATTCTTTTTTTAGTTTCTTATTTTTTTTTTACCCCGCCGGTCGGCGTAGTTTGTGAGCGTCAAGAGCACGCATCTGTAATTTCTAAAGTTTGAATAAAAAGGGATTTAAAAACCCTTCTCAAGACTTTGTCTACTTTCCAGTTTCATAGCAGTCACCACTATTGTTGCGTGCAGGTTGGAAGCGCGCAACATTACATTGGCGCCCGAACACTTGTCGAACTGAAATGGCCGAAAATTGGATGGAAGCTGCTGGACAACAACAAGAAATGGCAAGCCAATTGGAAGGATTTGGATACCTGGTCCAGACGATGAGAGCGTCAATCAAGCCAAACGTCAATTTCGACGGAAAAAATTCGGTGGCGATATTTCTAGAAGCCTCGAAAATCACTTTCCAGCTCTACCCTGTGCCTGAAAGACAAAAAGTTGCCATCGCCACATCTGCACTAAGAGGACAGGCCGCGCTATGGTGGAAGAATATAGGCAAATTTTTATTAGGGGAATTCGGAGGCCAGACATATACATTTGAAAATTTCAAAAAATCGTTATTAAAGGCCTTCCCCATAGTGAAAGATCGAGCAAGGCTAGAAGCCGAACTATATAGTTTTTATCAACGGGAATATAGAAGAGTTGACGGACTTTATTCTGCGAAAAATTAAGCTGACGGATATGCTGTATGGGAAGAAACCCGACGCGGAGATTATTGAAATAATCTTACCAAGATTGCTACCTGCTGTTCAAGATTACTTCGAAATTAGAAACCCAAGCACATTGCAGGAGCTCTTCGAATTGGCGGTCAAGTTCCAAAATCGCAGAATAGCGGAAAAAGCTAGAGGGCATCGTATTCTCAAAGTATCCGAAGGCAATCTTCAAATGAGCAGACCAGAAATGCAAACCGCTCTTATTGGGGAAAGAGCTATCAAGCTAACTCATCGAAGCTCGAAGGTCAAGGCCCAAAAAGGAAATTTGAAAACAACCGTCCGCGTACCCAGAAGGCAGAAGTTGAAAGGAAAGCTTTAAACGAGTAGAGGGGCCTGTGAAAGCGAGGGTCCAGACCCCGGAAGTTTTGAAAAAACCCTCAAGAAGATACTTAAATACGGTCATCGTAAAAAACTCACAATTACCAATTATACAAGTCTTGGTTGGCGATGTACCAGTAGAAGCCCTCATCGATACAGGAGCAGAAGGTAATTTTATGAGTGATATTTTTTTTAAGAAGAATTTTAATAGGTTTACGATTATTTAAAAATAAAAACACAGAAATCATAGCAGCGCAAGGACAAACTTGTCATTGTATTGGAAAACTATCTTTAAAAATACAGGTTCAAAACAATAAAAAACTTGCAAAGTCCACTTATTTTAGGTATGGAGTTTTTAAAAGCCGCGAAGGCCAAACTGAATTTTCAGGAAAGTTCTATCGTGCTGGAGATGGATTGGTGTGGAACAACCGCAAGTCGAGCCATGACCATGAAAGCCAAATCCAGCAAGTGGTGAGTACTTTTTCAAACTTGTTTTCAGAACGGCCTGGTAGTTGTCAAATAGTTACGCATGAGATACAGTTAACTGCGACAAAACCTGTAGACCCCCCCCCCCCCCCCCCCCCCCACCCCCCCCCCCCCCCCCCCCCCCCCCCCCCCCCCCCCCCCATCGAATCAAGAACATATTCAGGAAATGTTAAAGAACAAATAATAACGCCCATAAATAGTGAGTACGCGAGTCCAGTCGTACTATGTAGGAAAAAGAACGATTTTTCCTCCTTCGGATAAAAGGGCTTGGAGGTTTGCTATCGATTACAGAAAACTTAATAGTGTTACTAAATTCCCAGTTTACCCTTTGCCGGTTTATAGAGGAAATTATTAGAAAGATTAAATCTACAAGATACATGACTACGTTGGACTTAACGTCTGGCTACTATCAAATAGCTATGAGACCCGAAGACATACATAAAACCGCGTTTATAACAAAATCGGGCACTTATGCATTTTTACGCATGCCCTTTGGGTTGTGTGGGCCCCATCAACATTCCAGAGAGCTATGGACATTGTTCTAAAGCCTGTCCTAGGAAAATCGACTTTAATCTATCTAGATGATATAATTATAACGAGTAGTACGTTGGAACAACATATTAAAGATCTAGAAGAAGTTTTTAAATTATTAAAAGAGGCCGGTCTTACAATTAACGCCTCAAAATGCAAGTTCGCAACTAAAGAACTTAAATATCTGGGTTATAAAATTTCGCAAAAGGGTATAGAAACTCAAGATTCAAAAATAAAAGCCATCAAGAATTTCCCACCTCCCAACACCGCCAAGAAACTTTCTTCTTTCCTTGGGTTATGTTCTTATTATCGGTCATTCATAAAAGATTTTGCTAATATTGTTGAACCCTTGTTAGTAATTAAAAGAAAGAAAAGTAAATTCACGTGGACAGCAGAAGCAAATACCGCATTTGAAAGGTTAAAAGAAGCGCTCATCAATGCCCCTGTTTTGAAATTCCCGGAGGGGGACGAAAACCTGGAAATTGCAGCAGATGCGTCGGACTATGCTGTGGGTGCTGTTCTCATGCAAAATGGCCATCCTTTGGCATTTTTTAGTAAAACGTTGAACCCTACACAAAGGAATTATACAGCTACAGAGAGAGAAACATTAGCCGTATTAATGGCTGTACACAAATTTCGAGTTTATTTCGGCAAAGCGCCAGTAACAGTCTTTTCGGATCATGCGGCTGTTGGTAGACTTTACTCGGGGAAAAACCTAACGCCCAGGTTAATAAGATGGGCTTTAAAACTTCCAAGAATATAATCTCATAATTAAATATAAACCGGGTAAGGAAAACAATGTAGCTGACGCACTTTCTCGTATAAAACTGGACGATGAAGGAAATGAACTTAAATGCGCTGTGTGTTGACTTCAAAATTTTAGATTCTAGAGAAACAATTATTGCTGAATTGAAAGCTGATCCTGAATTTGGAAGTATCTATGCATATTTGAAAGACCCCGAAAGCTTTGAGCACACAGATATCGATGCGATAAGAAATAGAGCAGAAAAACTATGAAATAATAGATAATTTATTATTTTATACGAAAAACAACAAACGAAAATCTCGAGTACAAACCAGTCATCCCAGCCTCGCTTCGATTAAGCATTTTGAAGGAATTACACGACGCGAAAAACAGCGGGTCATTTAGGGTCAGAAAGACTTTAAAAAGGGTACGCGAGGCGGTATATTTCCCGCAATTATACAAAATAGTAACTGCGTATGTCAGGTCCTGCAATCAATGTCAGTTAATAAATGATATTAATTACAGCCCGGCCGGGTACTTAAATAGCATTCGCGCTACATTTCCGAATGAAATTTTAGGCATAGATCTTCTTGGTCCCTTTCCCCCAGAGTGAGTTAAATAAAAATCGTTTTCTTTTAGTAATTGTAGATCATTTTTCAAAATGGACAGAAATTGTTCCACTTAAACGCGCGTCAGCCAAAACAGTCGCAGATGCATTCTTACACACAGATACATTTTAAAATACGGTGCACCGATAAAAGTCATTAGCGATAACGGTAAACAATTCGTTAGCCAAATATTTGAAAACATATTTGCACTGGACTTGGCATACGCCATATCAAAATGGTTCCGTATAGACCACAGGCAAACATAGCAGAAAGAGTTAATAAAAACATTGTAAAAATAATTCGAAGTTATGTTAGCACACATCACAAGCGCTGGGATGGCTACATAAATGATGTTAGCTTATGCTTTAAGAACGGCAAATCACGATACTACGGGAAAAACCCAGCAGAATTATTTTTAGGACGAAAGTTAATTACGCCATTAGATAAATTATTCTTTGTGCAACAAAGAGAGCAAGAATTTTTAAACAGAAAGATGTGCAAAAACTTCATTGACCAGGCGGTTAAAAGCTCGGATACGGCAAGAAATAGACAAAAATTATACTATGATAGAAAACGCCGTGAAGCAGATTTTAAAGTTGGAGATAAAGTGTTGAAGCGGAAATTTTCTTTATCAAGTGCCCCAGACAATTTTACTGCAAAGTTAGCTCCAAAATTTGAAGGCCCCTATGTAATTCAGGAAATCAAGGGAGTCGTATTGTACCTTAAGAACGAGAGAGGGGAAATCTGTAAAGCAAGTCCCGACCAGGTGAAAAAAATATTATAATAAAATGATTTTGAAATCCTTAAAAGTTTCTTGCAGGACTCAAGCGTAAAAGAAGTAGAAGGTCCAGAAGTAACGTCACCCGTTCCACCACCC